TCCTTGCAGTTGTGGCCTGTCATTTCAATTGTCACAAGGCAGACTTCTATGTTCTACTCCCTCCGTCCGGAAATACTTGTCGGAGAAATGCATAAAAATAGATGTATCTAGAACTAAAATACATATAGATACATCCCTTCCTCCGACAAGTATTTCCGGACGGAGGGAGTACTTAGCATAGACTATTTCATCGCATGCCCTTTGACTTTGGACTCATATAATTCAACCTTGATCTTGCAGACCTGTCAATGTAATGATAAACTACGTCCTGCTCTTGGTATGTCCCTTTGTTAGATGTAAACCTCCCTGCACCTCAAACAAATATATGGAAACCTGCATTGTTAACATATTGTTCTCCTTATGAACATATTGAAATCAATTCTGACTTATGATCTCACGCCAATATTTAGCACCACTATGCTCGCTCCTCTCACAATTGAATGGATATGCTAAACCCGAATTCCTACTAACTTAGAATTATCTGCTTGACAAAGATATTAGGACCGGCACCCTCGCGCCAAGGCGCGGTCCCGATCTAGTTAAACATATATGCGCTAGCCAACTGCCCACCAGACTCATTCGTAAGTACTAGACACATCAATTGATTTATACACTCCAAACCCTACCGTCAAGGACTATGGCGGCAGGGTATTTTCAACCTCGAACGACCCTTACGGCGCAGTCAAGTCCTACCGCCATAGCCCTTGGCGGTAGGCTGTGTTACCCTACCGCCAAGGACGATGGCAGTAGGAAAAGGGTTAGATCACGAAAACTTTTCAGACCAGGGTCAGATCGCGCTAAAGTTTAAAAAAATGGTCAAAGCAGTGAATTCGGCCCCCATGTGCCCCACGACCTCACCTTATCCTCCACCCCACCCCCACCTGCCCACCACGATTCTCTCTTTCGTACCTCTCTCTCCCTCTTGATCCAGACACAACGGCGCCCCCACCACCTCGACTGCCCTGGCCTCACCGGCCACCACCTCGCACGACGGCCGCCACTGACGACTTCAGCGCTCCTACCCCGTCGCCCCCGTCGGCTGCCTACTCCGGCCCCGTCCCCGCCGGCCGCGTCGTCCCCCGCCCCGTCCCTCGCCGGCCCCGTCGGCCGCTAGCCCCTTTCCTCTCCGCCTCCGGCGCCGCCAAGCCCGCACCATCTCGCTTCGCACCCGCCGGCCTCCGGCCCCTATATCCCGTCGCCCCCACCGGCCGCCGAACCCATCCCTCGATGCTGCAGTGCCACACCACCTCGCGGATGAGCGTGGCGAGCTCCGTTGCGGTGCCGGACGCCTTGAGCCCCATCCCTCTTGTATTTTTTTTGTGAGATATCCCTCTTGTATTCTGTGTAATTTATTTGTGTGTACTAATTCATTTGCATCTACTCTGTGTAATCCGTTCATGTGTAATCTGTTATTTTGTGAAATGGAACAGTTTTGTATTGTGAAATTCATCCGTGGAGTCTTGGAACAACAAGTGTTGATGGATATTGTGGTTTTAGTCGTAGTCTGTTTGTTCCTTTCTTTTAATATAAAAAAGTTATTTGCCGTTAGTGATTTCTGAGGCAGACGGTAAAAACACAGATTCTAGCTGATGGCAACGACGCTTTTCTTTGCCGTCTGGGGTATACGTGTAGGACGGCAAAGGTAGTTTGGCTGACGGCAAAATCTTTGCCGTCTGCCCGATTAAAATCTAACGGCAAAGCAGTCTTTGCCTCCATCTTCTTTGCCGTCTATGTTTGCCGTCAGCCGACTGATGGCAAACTCTTTGCCGTCTGTATTTCGCTCTTTGCCGTCTGTAACCGCCAGACAGCAAACTAGCTGATTCCTGTAGTGATTATGAACCGAGTCATCTGGCAAGTTGACGCTGCTACAGATTCGATCAACTTCGTGCGCTCCACGTCATCAGCCGAAGCAAAAGCTACTAGTACTACTGCTCACCGGCCAAAAGCAAAGCAGTAGTTTAATTCACATCTGATCCACTACGTGATTTGACTACTAGTACTACTAGATGATACCCGCGCCTTGCTGCGGGAATTCTTAGCCCTTTACATGTTGTAATAAATAAATGAATACGTTTTATTGCATAGTAGATATATGACCTTAAGATGAAAAACTTCTAGCAGACAAAGATGAGTGGCAACTGCAAAAAAAAAATATGAGAAGCGTTGAAACTTAAACTGAGTACATACCATAAATAGCATGTGTTCATGATGATATGTTCAAATATATCTACCTTCCTCAAGAAAACAACAAAAGGATTTATGTACCCTCATTTTCTCGCACTTTTTTAAACACCTGAAGAATCACTTTCCATATCTTCTGCATACCGCACGTCGCAACAAAACCAAGGTCAAATGATACACAATATGAAGTATGTGAAATCCATTGTCAGAATTTATATAAAATATTCATTGTTTTTGTAGAGACAATTTCTCATGACTGTAGTCTTGGATGTACCAAATCTTTGCATGATACTGGAACCATACTTCTCTTTTAATCTCATCGATTTCCTGGGATGTGCAACTATGACAATATGTGGTCAGTGATATATTGTTCATCAGTTAACTCAATTAACTTGTTCATCAGTTATCACTCTCTGCTCTGTTTCTGCAGAACAGTTCAAGCCAACAGTGAATTTGGAGAGCCGCGCATTCAGAAGTTCAGTTTGCTTGGTTGTTCCATGGAAACAATATAAGAAACCAGCCGTGATCCCTTCCCCTGGTGTCTCAACGGAGAGCTGCATGGTTCCGCATAATCGACAAGTTCAAAAGTACATCCAGTGGTGGGTGGTGACACACGCGTTTTCAAAGAAGTTACATTACAGATTTACATGATGGATGGATGATTCAGGTTTTCAGTGCTGATTCGTTCCAGTTAGTGCGGGTGTGTGCCACCCTGTTGACGAATCATAACCCTGACGAAGCTATGGTTCAAGATTTGCAATAGGGGGATGGGCGCGACCCGCCTCCTCTGTTTTCATTCCCTGTCTCCTCCGCCGTCCGTTTCCTGCCCCGTCGCCTCGCCTGCATCTGCTCAGGCCAGATTTGGCCCTGCCACCACACTCTCCACTCTCCACTCTCCACCCTCTCCCTCTTCATCCTCCTTGTTAGTTAGTGTTCATAATCGCTGGGCTCAGCTACCAAGCTGTGTAATGTGCACTCCTTCCTCCACCGCTCACCATGCTGAGTCGATCGACAGGTACAACATGGCCAGAACTTGGCACACATACGAGATAGTGATGATGATCATGCAATAAGCTGAACTTGACCAGTACATCTGGCTGAGAAACACAAAACAATATTTGGTGTATGGGATGGGGTATTCTTCTTAGTTGAGTTTGAACAATAAGCTGAGAAGGCCAATGGTACGCTTCTCCCAAAATATAATTGGGCATCACACTCTGATTGTCCACAGTTATTCCCCTTTACTTGCATGATATACTTGCTCCATCCCAAAATAAGTGTTGCTGATTTTGAGGGAGTATTTGCTAAGAGCATGTCAACAATGAGAAGTTAACTTCTCCGCAAAAAATATAAAAAGATAAACAAAATGAAAATAGACTAGGCCATGCACTGAGTCACGAGCTGGGCCGGTCCTCTCACAAACAGTTAACGGCCCTTTGGTACCATTGTTTGATGGTTGCCCTCGGCTGGGTCTCCAATGGGCAGAACGACGAGGTCGGACGGACGGACTCCCCGGTGAGATCATCCTCGCCGGCGACATGTTTACCCCTCCGCCGACTCAAGTCCACCGCGCACCGTTCCCACTCGTGTAATTCACATCGATCGGGCCCCCTGCCTTGCACTGTACTGCAGCTCCGGTGGGCGCAATCAATGGAGGCTCGAGGGAGGGAGATCTTCTCCAACTCTGTCTGCCATCACCGTCGGCGTCCATCCTTTTCTTCCCGTTCCCTAGCTAGGAATTCCGCCACCCCCACCTGCATTCACATGGCACTGACGACTGCTTGCTTGGTACTCGATCGATCAGTGTACTGGATGGAGGGAATCTGGACCAATTCTTTGGCTGCACAACACAACAAGTAATTAATAGTTGAACAACGACAGCGTCGACTGCGCTAGGGAACAAGTCACCGGTCAGTCTTCTAACACGATCATTCTAACAGCTCATCACCTCCGATCTTTGTGTTTCGATTGTGTCAACAAAGCTGCTTTAATTTCTTGATGGGCACCATGACAACCATGTTCCTAGTTTCGTACCGGCTTCTCACATGGTAATAGTACATCATCACTAAATCGATCCAAGCACGAGTACAATATGCTGTATAAAAAAAATCCTACAAGAGTCTTTCTAACCACGCGCACATAAACCGACACGGCCGTAATCATGATACCGACATACCGTGCTGAGCATCCCTGTGCAGGAGGGAATTAAGGTCGCGACATTCACATGGACCCAAGGCCAAGAGAAAAGTAGCACCGGCCATCATTTTCTTCATAGGAATACATTGCCACACACCACCACATTCACACGGAAAACCGACGTTTGCTTGGTGGTCAGTGTTTTGGATGGATCTGGACTAGCTTCTTGGCTAGCAACGAAACCGGTTACTTAGCCACACAAAAGGTATCTTTGATGGCGATGGGGATGAAGATTGTTTGGCCCTTTTCTAGATGAGAATCCTTTGGCTGCAGAATACACCAATAATTGAACGCTGATTGTTGCTTTCTTGATGGGAGCCATGACAAGAATGTCACAAGGTTCATGCATCGCGGCTTCCTAGATGGCACATGAATAAACGATCAAAGCATTAGTGCAGTCTGCTATAAAAGGGATCAACCAGACCCTCTTCTCAACTGCGCGCACATAAACAACACACAGCCTTTGGTACCATATCCACCACACCACAAACTAGACACTTTTTCCCTGTCCGCCCCAGCCCCATAGGAGATGGAGGCGGCGATTGGCCTCGCAAGCGCGCTCGTCGACAGCGTGCTGACTCTGCTTTCCAATGAGCTTGTGGGGGCGTATGTAGCCAGCTCTGAGCTCGGCCTCAATTCCAAGGAGATAAAGCGTGATCTGATGTTCACGCAAGGTCTGTTGCACGAGGCCCAGAGGAGTGGCGTGGTCGACAACCATGGTCTGCAAGGGCTGATGCAGGAGCTCAGCGCCAAGGCCGACGAGGCCGAGGATGCACTGGATGAGCTCCACTACTTCATCATCCAGGATGATCTCGATGGCACCAAGTATGCAGTGCCGGATCTGGGTGATGACCTTCAGGGCCATGCTCGCCACGGTCGCCATGCTCTTAGCCACACTATTGGTAACTGCCTTGCATGCTTTTCTTGTTCGCATATGCATGGTGATGATGTTACCAATAATCCACATGATGCAACAAATCTTAGTAGTGATGGTCCAATTGATAGGCTGCCATTTCATAGAGTGGACATGTCTAAGAAAATCAAGTCAGTGATTGAGGAGATACATTCTTTATGTGTCCCCGTGTCCGAATTGCTCAAGATAATCCCACGCAGTAGCAACAACACTCCAGTTGTCACCCTAAAACGACCTCTTATGGGATCAACCACTGTACAAGATACATTGTTTGGAAGGAGAAATCTCTTTGAGCAAACCATAAAAGGAATCATCACAAATAGTAGTGAGACCCTTTCTGTTATTCCTATAGTTGGTCCGGGAGGTATTGGAAAGACAACCTTCACCCAACACCTATACAATCATGAAAGAACTCGAGAGCACTTTCCTATTAAGGTTTGGGTCTGTGTATCAACTGATTTTGACGTGCTTAAGGTTAGCCAAGAGATTCTTAGCTGCCTAGAAGGAAACAAAACCGCAAATCAATCAACAAGTTTAGATCAGCTCCAAATATCCATCACGCAGGGACTCAAGTCTAAAAGGTTTTTAATAGTCTTGGATGATATATGGGAGTGCAATAGGCAAGGTTGGGAAAGCCTGCTAGCTCCACTTATGAAGGGCGAAACCAAGGGTAGCATGGTTCTTGTCACAACTCGGTTCCCGTCTAAAGCTGATATTGTTAAAACAACTTACCCAATAGCACTGAAAGGCCTTGAGCCCGTTGAGTTCTTCACATTCTTTGAATCATTTATATTTGGTGGACAAAAACCTGAGGGTTACGATGATGACTTGACTCATATTGCAAGAGATATTGCCAGCAAGTTGAAGGGTTCACCTCTGGCAGCCAAAACAGTTGGTCGGATATTGAAGAAGGATCTATCTCGGGAATATTGGATGAGAGTTCTTGAAAACAATGAATGGCAAAAAGAAAAAAATGATGATGACATTTTGCCATCTCTAAGAATTAGCTATGATTACCTTCCTTTCCATCTGAAAAAATGCTTCCCATATTTTGCCTTGTTCCCTGAAGATCATAGGTTTAAGAACTTAGAGGTCATATATTTTTTGATTGCAATAGGTATCATAGATAAAGATGAGAATTACATGGACGAACTAGTCGATAATGGTTTTCTTGTGAAGGAGAATGATGATATGGAGGGTGAATACTATGTATTGCATGATCTATTGCATGAACTAGCACGAGATATTTCATTAAAAGAATGCCTCAATATATATAGTAGGGCAAGTTTTAGAGCTGATTCCATCCCAAAATCTATTCGTCACTTGTCCATCACCATGAAAAACAAATATGATGGGAACTTCACAGAAGAAATTATAAAATTTAAGAGAAAGGTAGACTTTGTAAATTTGCAGACTTTGATGATTTTTAGCGGACATGCAGGAACTATTGATGAGATTTTGAAAGATATTTTCAAGGACATAAAAGGTCTTCGTGTCTTATATATAGAAGTCGAGTCTGCAGAATATGTACCACACAACCTTCCAAACTTTATCCACCTCCGGTACCTAAAAATTACAAGATATAACTCTAGATCACAAATGACTTTGCCTAGCATATTATCCAGATTTTATCACCTGAAATATTTGGACCTAAGTAGTTGGCATGGTAGTGATAAATTGCCTAAAGATATTAGTCGCCTTACAAATTTATGCCATTTACTGGAAACAAAAGAACTCGATTCTGATATTCCTGAGGTTGGAAAGATGAAATACTTAAAGGGGCTTAGAAAATTCTGTGTCAAGAAAGAGAGTGTTGGATTCGAATTGAGTGAGTTGGGGGAGTTAACTGAGCTTGGAGGAGAACTCAAAATATGTAATCTTGAAAAGGTGGCAACAAAGGAAGAGGCTATGAAAGCCAAACTGGTGTCAAAAGGTGATTTGAAAAAGTTGGAGTTACTTTGGGGCACAGAACACGATCAGGGAGAATCCGATGTCCTTGGTGATAGTAATGAATTATCTGATGTTATTGATGGTCTTGAACCACATCCTAATCTTCAATCACTTGTTATTAAAAATCACGGTGGCTCGACCTGTCCTAGTTGGTTGTGTGGTTCCATTGGCCTACTAATGCTGACGTCCCTCTGCCTAGAGGATGTTTCTTGGACCATTCTTCCACTTGGGCATCTGCTACATTTGTCGTCACTCAAGTTGAGGAATATTCCTAGACTTGGTCAGATCATATCTGGCTCTTCTGACATTACAGACAGAAGTTGTTCGCGGTTGAAGGAGATTATCCTCTTTCGGCTGCCAGAATTTACTGAGTGGGTGGTGACGCCTAATGCCCGTTGGTTTCCAAGGCTTGAACTTGTCCATTGCTATGGATGCCCCAACCTCCGTTCGTTTCCCTTCCTGGAAGAGGGCTCTGGTTCTTATACGAGCCTATCGACACTCCGTATTTTCAAATGCCCCAAGTTGCTCCTGCCCCCCATGCCGGCAACTCATATTGATGTGTCTGCTGGTCCTTCACGGAGTATGGAGTATGATGAACATGACTTGGCTTTGACCGGGCATAGCGGTGCTGCATCAAAGTTCACATGGGTGCAACTCCCAAAGCTAACCTCTCTGAGGGAGCTTCGTATTGAAGGAGACTCAAGCTTTATATCTATGGATCTGCTCTTAAACCATACGTCTTTGACCAGTCTACGACTAGAAGACTGCGAGAATTTAGAAGTAGATGGGTTCAATCCTCTCATCGCAGCTGTCAACCTCAAGGAATTTGCGGTTCACAACAGGGGAGGAGATCGTTCTCGCTCTGTAGCGGCGGCTCTTCTCTCAGAAATGGTGGTGGCAAGTAGGACTGACGTACTGTTGCCTTCTGCGGGCTGCTTCCGGTTGGGAACACTTGGCGTGGATAGCATCTCAGCAATGCTTGCTGCTCCCGTATGCAGCCTCTTCGCCACTACCCTCCACACAGTAATCTTCAAATTGGATCAGCGGGTGGATAGCTTGACGGAAGAGGAAGAGAATGCGCTTCAGCTCCTCACCTCCCTCCAACACCTGTATTTTTGGTTTTGCCCAGCCCTGCCCTCCCTCCCTCGAGGGTTACACAGACTTTCTTCTCTCTGGAGCCTACATGTGGGTTATTGTCCTGAGGTCCGATCGCTGCCCAAGGAGGGGCTCCCCACTTCTCTGCAACTTCTAATAGTAGAAGGGTGCACTCGCGAGCTATGTGAGCAAGCCAAGGAATTTGAAGGAAGAAACCCATATTTACGGGTAGATGCCTATAAATGCATAGATTGAAGTTTAAATCCGAGGTAACAAGCTGAGTCCCCGCGCTGACCATTTCCATTTATCTTCTCGTTTTCTATAGTGCAGATCTGTGAATTCTGACTTCTGATAGGCCACCTGCATGTTACTTCTGAATCCTTTCAGCCATGTCGTCTACGAGCTATATGTCTGCATCTGGAATATCATACTCTACTTTACAATATGAAGACCAAGGTGGCAACCGGCTGGTAGACCTGGAGGTGAATATCTGTTTTTTGTCTATATGTACTCTTTTTATAAAATCTCATCAACTGAAAATCTGTCTAGGCTGAAGCATGCAATCCGATTGCAATGGAGATTGGAACCGGGCATATGCTCGATTGAATATTGCTAGGCAAATGAAACACCTACTTATTCTGTAAGTGTGGGTACATGCATCATCTTGCATGGAAGAACCTCTATGTTGGTGATTTTTCATCATTTCAAAGTTATGAACTTTGTTGCTTAAAAAGTAATGTTCTTCTTTTCTTTTTTATGCTCTTCCTTCTCTCAGTCTCAGGAAAATCGAGAGATGCTCCTATCTAGATACTGTTAGTTCAGAAGCTTTATTTCACAAGTTGGCGACGGGATATTCGGGTAGCTAAGCTACTGCCTAATTGCTTATGGGCTTCTATTTTATCTGTTCCATAACCCTTGTTCTCATAAACAGTTGACACCATTCACCGCCAAGCTAGTTTTAGGAGAACAATCTGAAGCTTCAATGCCACGCACCTTAGAAGAAGGCACATTTCATTTACAAAATTATGTAAGTTCGGTTCATCTTACTGCTTTACAATAATATTTGCATTTTGTACAAAAAAAGTGGTTCACACTGAATTGTTCTTGTATCGGACTCAAGTACATGCCAAGTGTAGAGAATGTGTTTCGTTGGCACGCAGCAATTTATGAACCCATTAGCTCCGTGCTACACCATAGTACATTTCAAAGATTAAACAGTGAGATACCATGTAAGAATTTTTCTATAAGTATATAATGTAACTGTAAAAATTATAATGCAATTGTAATATTTTATTCTAATTTGGATTATGATAAATGTTTCAGGTCTGGGATCAGAAAAGCGCTGTGTATTAATGGTTTGCTTGGAGTATTGCCCAATTCTTTTGCACACAAATTGCCTGGCTTAATAATGATTTGTTAGCTTTTGAATCACGATATTGACATTTTGGTTCGAAGAGCAATTTATCCTCAGGTACGTTCATGTCTAAGCAGTTTTAGATGGCAAGAGTGCTGCTCCATTCTTCTTGGTTTGAAGTAAGAATGTCTGCTTAGCCTTTTTTTGAAAATCTGAACATCACATTTTGTGCAACATTGGAACAGGTTGATTTGGTGTTCTTGAACTTCATGGTAATTAACCACTAACTGCCAACCGCAACTTGTTCAGATTTTAGAGATTACATATATGATATATCGTGATGCTTTACTGGCAACCTTGATCCGTCAGAGTTTCAGCTCGAGTTTAGCAGGTTTACAACTGATGAGTGATGAGCAACTCAAACTCTCAAAGTAATGAATTGAGCATTTACGTTATGCAAGTTCCCTTTAGCTTGTTCAATGAATTGGCTGACCTTAGATTCAGGACTTGGATTCTGTAGAACAATGTGCAGCCAACAGTGAATCCAGAAGTTGGCTGTTTGTCCGGACAACAAAAGAAACCAGTAAGCCTTTGTTTTCATACCCCTGACGAAATGGTGTGCAGTTCTGTGTCATCGACCCTATCGAAGGTACTGATTACATCACATGTGGTCTGTGTTGTGTGATGGACGATTCTGGTTTTAGGTACTGATTTGTTTCATGTATGTGGTGGCATGCATGCATCATGGTGCAGGTGTGTGTGACGAGCCTGAAGTGCTCAACCTGATGAAGAAGAGGAAGCTAGTGCAGTATGAATGTATGATTCAAGACTACGAAGCATTGCAGGAGCTGCCGCCTCCTCCCTGGCCTCTCCACACCGCTACTCTTTCTTCAGCATCCTCCGCGAGCGCATCGTCCACTCGTTTCTCCACTCCTATCTGCTCTGCCCACATTTGGCACTGACGCCAGGGCGACCGTCGTTGGGCAAGGCCGGTGCGCCCCTACCGTCGCCGGCCAGCTTCCCACCACTCCATCTTCCTCCACCTCCTCTCTTCTCCTCTCCCGTCCTTGCTACTGTACATGCTGATTCAGTCCGTCCGTCTGCAGTTTGCTAGCCACACCTAGCTAGACAAATGCCATGTCCGGCCTTATCTGCTGAACTTGGGCCAGCATCTCTGAAAAGTGAGTATCCTGTTTTGATCTCTCAGAAATGTCTCCTTTGGAAGAACATGCATGTTTCTCTAGTGTTGATCAGTACGTCCATTCTTCCAGCTCCAGTTAGCAAGCAAGAAACAATCTGAGAAGAAGTAGTAGTGTTGTTGTAAGTTGTAACTGCTGCTTTCTTTACGTCTGACATGACAACCTAACTGTAGTTTGTTAACCCTGAAGAAACTGCTTCTTCTTTAGGCTTTGTTCGGTTAATGCTCTCCCCAAGAGGATTGGAGGGGATTGGCAGGGATTGGTTCATATTTTGACTTAGAAGAGGTTTAAATCCCCCTCAAACCCCTTCAATCCACTCGGATTCACCCGCAACCGAACAAGGCCTTAGATATGTACTGGAGTAGTAACATGCATACTTTGAATAAATTGTCCATTCTTGGATTGTGCGTGTGCACATGGATTTCGTTCCCTTTCTGGGTGTTTTTTTTTTTGAGGTAAATAATAGAATTGCCCTCTTGAACGTTTTCATTGCTCAAAAAGTAGCCCCCTCCTGATAGCCTCCGAATGTCACGGACCTGGCCAACCTCTTTTGGTCGGCTGCCCTGGCTTCGTTGAATTTGGAGGCGTGTGTTGCCGGTATAATACGACACCAAATGCCTTGCCGGCGGTGACTTCAAATCCAGAAGCCGAACGGTCTTCGAAGGAATCCATACTAGTTGCCCGCGCCCACAGATTATACAAAAAAGGGTCTTCCCGCTTTAGATTATAAAGCAACGACCAACCCATACAACGAGCTTGTTGGGGCCGCAGCACAAACGAGCCCAAAAGAAAAAGGAGAAAAAAAATGAAACAAATGTCAACGCTAGCAGCTCAACTAAGCGAAGATGGCCGACATCCGCTACACCCTCCGGAGAAGTACCACATCCCGCCAAGCACTCCGAAGCCTCGCGTACCAAGCAACACCTTCATGAAGGAATGCGACGACGACGACGCTGCTGCCCGGATAAGTCTTAGGGTTTCCTCCGATACATGGATGGCAGTGGGGAAGGGGTATCATTGACGCCCCTCAGGAGGGTCCGGCAACGCCCATGGGCGCAGTTGCGCCGGTGTCGAACGAGCCGCCAGAGATTTCTCCCACCCCGAAACCACCACCGCCATCACAGACAATCGAAAGCGCGCCGCCCAACATGCCGCCCACCAGCCTGTGCCACCACGGATACCGCACCATCTTCACTGTCTCACTGAGGCCACCAACACGAGACCTGGAGGTAGGACAAGGAGACACCGGGCTCGATGATAACCGCAACGCAGCCGACAGGAGGGAACCACCTCCACCGCCGCACGGAGCCGACCGGACATAGCAACAGGGACCTGCCAGGCAACCACCGCCCCGGCCGGACCCCAACGGGTCCGGATGGTCCCTGCAGCCACGCTGCAGCACGCCGGCCGCCGGACCCATCACCACCGCAGCCATGGCCGCCTAGCCTCACCACCAGGGAGCACCGCCGTCGCGGCCCGACCCACAGGCTCGCCCCAGCCCAGATGGGACCCGGAAGGGTCCAGATCTGGTCCGAGCGGGCACCGCCGGCCAGCCGCCCACCACGCCCACCGATTATCACCATCTCCTCTCTCACTCTGAGTCTATGTTGCTGTAATCATTAATAGAAATCACATGATTATTGTATATGCAGCCAATATTTATGGCCATATCTGTGGAGGCAATGTCAGCAGAATTACTGGTATTTTTTTTCTGCTTCTTAAAAATTTCCAAAGGAAAACGCTTCCAGCGGGGATGCCGGCTGAAGCATGCGCCTGTCGCATCAGCATCGTCAGATCCCACCCAATCACACGGTCCCTTTTTCTTCCTTCTTTTTCCCCTGCATTATCTTCCTCCTCCCTTCGTTTCTTATCCACAATGTTGTTCTCGTCCCCATGGGGACCTGCCGGGGGATGAACTGTTACGAGAAAAGCTTCAACCTTAGACATAAAAAGCTTCAACCGGCGTTTCGTTTTTTGGTACAATGCACTACCAGCGTCGGCGGTTCGAGGACGACGGCGCTGCTCCGACCAGCACTGCTTTGCTAGAAGCACCGTGCATGATGCTACAACCGGCGTACCAACTTGCTACAACTAGTGTCTCGTTATGCTACCACTCATCACCGGTGTTGATCTTTTGCTACAACCACGCCAACTATTTGCTACAACCGGCATCTCGTTATGCTAACACGTACCACTGGCATCGGTTTTTCTGCTACAACATCGTTGCTTTTTTACTACAACCAGCGTTGCCATTTGCTACTAAGAACCACCGGCAGCGGAGAAAAAGCTGTGACCGGCGATATTTGGTTTTTGCTAGGACCGGCGGTGTTTTTTGCTGCAATGGCAGAGTTCTTCGTCGGGACGGTGATGGCTACTCGTTTTTCTGCCGGAACGACGAGGGGGGCTGCGACGGCGAGTACAGTATGTTGAGGATGCATCGGAGACGGCGAGGGGGCCTGCGACGGTGAGTACAGTATGTTGAGGATGCATCGAAGACGGCGAGGGGGGCTGCGACGGCGAGTACAGTATGTTGCAACCGACAACGACAAGGGGCCATGAACGGTGTGGGTGATGCGTAGATCATTACGGATGGTGGCGAGACAGTTAGCGGGGTCAACGTTGGCGAGGGCCGCGAAGGCGCCGGTGATTCACCGACGTCCATGGCAAACACCATGTGGCCGTCCGGCGAGACAGCCTGCGTG